TTTTTTTTTTTTGACGACAACCACAAAAAAAAATCATTTATATTATTATTATTATTATTATTATTGGAATGAAATTTTAAAAAAATATGAATTTTATCATTATTATTATTATTTTTATTTATTTAAATATTGCAATCGATAATTTCCGTTTTAGGATTATTATTATTATTATTATTATTATTATTATTATTATTATTATTATTATTATTATCGTTTTTATGGGAATTTATATGATAATTTCTTGGTAACCGATTATTGTCGTGTCGATATCCGTTGAAAATTCGTCGTCGTCGTCGAAGTTGATGACGTCATCGTCGTCGTCGTCGTCGTCGAAAAATGATTTCATTATTTCGTTAATGTAATTAAAAACGTCTGCAAAAATGTCTGAAAAAACTAACCATCAAAAGAAAAAAAATTTTTTTTTTTTTTTTTAAAAAATTGCTACCACCGCCTTCTGTCACAAAAAAAAGATGATCACGTGACCCGCGACGCGACCGCAATCTCACGCGTTTGACCTCTTCTCCTTCTTCTTCTCTCCATTATTTATTAACTAATTTTTTTTTCTTCTTTTTTTTACAGAAAATTTTTATTGCCGAACAAACGGAAATGATGATTATTCAATCAAAAAAAAAAAAAAATAAGAGGAGGAGAGAGATGGAGAAGGAGAAGGAGAGGGATGGAGAGAGAGAGAGAGAGAGAGGGAAAATAATATAATCAGGTAAGTTAATTTGACCTTTACATTCTTCTTTGACCTTTCTAATTTAAGTTAAAAATTTTCCGTACCGAAAAAACGTTCGTAATAATATGAATATTTACGGGGGGGAAAAAAAAAAAAAAAATTAAATGCGTGTATTGTTCGTTCGTTTGTTTGTTTGTTCGTTTGTTACGGTTTGTTAGGTTTTCAGGTGCGTAAAACAAAAACCTTAAAACAATAAACTACCTTGTTAATTAACATAATAGTCGGGAAATTTTCGGTTTGTTTGTTTGTTTGTTTTGCGTTTCCGTTAATGCCGTTTCATACTAAATCGTAATAATTTAAATTTTTTTGGCGGGAAAATCATTTCGCGATGGCGGGGTTTTTATACTCTATGATATATATATATAGAAAAAAAAAAACTTACCGTCGGAACTGTTGTTGTTATTGTCGTTGTCGTATTTTCCGGTGGTGACTTCCGGTTTGATAACTCTATCGGATGCTTGCGGTATCGTAGGCGAATAACTGAACGCTTTCGGTGTCGTCGATTCCGCCGGTTTTTGAGTTTCCGTTTCGACAATGACGTCATCGGAACCTTTCAATATTATTTTTTTACCATTATCATCATTTTTCAATATTATCATCGGATCTTTCGTTAAATTTTTATTAAAAGAAAATGGCGGCGGCGGTGACGTAGGCGTCGACGTCATCAATGCATTTTCATCTACGAATTCATCATTTTCCGGTAAATCTTCGTACGTTATGTCGTAATATTCGACTTGTACTAAAAGATTCGGATAATCTTCATCTTCACCCGCATCATCACCTTCCGTCATCATTTTATTCTTATTTTTCCCATTATTATTATCATCGTTCGGATTCGTTAAAATTTCTTCTTCCAGAGGAGTTTTAGTGTCCGACGACAAAGAATTTTTCTTCAAATCGTTTTCTACGTCTTTTATATTTGGTATGGATTGGGAAAGTTCGAGTTTAGACAAATACGCGGGATTCTCTACTTCCGATGATGATGATGATGACGTTTTTCCAATCGTTTTTCTCATTTCCGTTTTGAAATAATTTATATCTGCAACGACGATACAAAATTAAATTATTATTATTATTATTATCATCATTCCTCCCTCCTCTCCCCCTTTGTAACGCTTTTAAATTCCCGAAGGGGGAGGAAGGAGAAGGGAGAGAGGGGAAGGGAAGGGAAGGGAAAAAGGGAAATTTCTTCTTCCGACGTAAATTCGTTATTTATTAAATAGTTAATGTCGTCATTTCGATATAAATTTCGAGAATCGTCGATATAAAATATATCGAAAACAATCGAAATGATTATTATTATTATTATTATTATTATTATTATTATTATTATTATTATCATTATTATCATCATCATCGTGGATTTTAATAGGGATAAGTTTCGAGAAATTTCGATTTTCAGTTTTCATTATTCACTTATGGAAAAAATTCTCGTCGTATCGTCGTTCGATACATATTATTATTATTATTATCATTATTATTATTATTAAAGTAAAAGTCATCGAAATCATTTACGAGGGCGTATCCCCCCACCTTCATATTGAAATGTGAACCTTAAAATAATAAACCGCCGCAAATGTTTCTCTCTCTCTTTTTTTTTGCTATAATACACACGAAAAAACAACAATATTATTTAATTTTCTATTGTTAAATAAAAAATAATGATGATTATGATGATGATGATAATGATGACTTTCACTAACGAATTTTTTTTTCTTTTTTTATGCGAGACCTGAAAGATGAGAACAATCGTAACAATAA